CTGAAAAAATGCTATCAGACCCATAGAGAACGGAGATGCCAAGTTGAGGTGATTATTAAAATGCAACAGTGAAAATTTTATCAAAATTATCTAGACGATTGAAATGAAAGAGGAGTAGCCTTCAGAAACTGATATAAAAATAATAATGTCTTGATGTAGTGTATGCACTGATGCCATGTTTAGGAGTTCATTATTTTACAATGCTGCAGTACATTATTATATAAATCAGCATTTTGGCACTATGTTACACTCCCTCTCATCTACTAATGTCAGATTATCTAGACGTTTTGAGATAAAAGAAGAGGAATGTCCTGAAATTAGTTGAGGCCGTGTATTCAGTAATTTGTATGTCAATCAGAGCATGTGAGCGGAGCGGAGCGGAGCGTGAGCGGGCAGAATTTGGTCAGAGCGCGGAGCGGTTTTTTAATTAAGGCTGGAGCGGTCGCTTTGTCTCGCTCCAATTTCGCTCCGATACCGCTCACACTACAATTCTGAGGCGTGCCCAAATCTACCCAGAATTCATCTGTACAATTATCAAGACTGTTACACAAATTGGCCGAAATGGAATTCACAAAGTATTTCACAAAGGAAACTGATAAATCATATAAGTGTATTATTCTTATCAAACGTATAGATGACAAGAATGTACAGCAAGAACAACAATGTGGTGAAACTGTTTCAGTGAGTAAAGATTCACTTTGGAATCACTTTTCTCAGAAACATGAGTGTGCTACGCGAACAAGCGGAAGCCAGAGCAAAACGCGTGCAAGTTTTATATGGTTGTAGCATATCAAGTCTATAAAGTAAATTAAAGTATAAAAGCCTATAAAGTACATATTGGTAATCAAATAAATTCGTTTTGTCATTCAAAGTAGGTCTAATAAGATTTTTTTTTAAATTTCACGTAACGTAAAATGTTATTTTAGAGACGCGCTGCATCAAAAGAAAAAAATTGAGGAATTTAAAACGTGTCTGTATATTCTTTAGGCTATTAAGCCCACTGATTCCTTTATTTTTAAACCTATTTTTGTGTGGAATGCCATTTCCAAACCTGTCCGTTGTTGCCGATAGGTTGCTTAAAAATAAATATTTTCTGTTCTGACTGGCAATGTTGCCGTTGCTCATATTTCTTTATGACATAAGGCTTCGGTTTAAGGTGACATTTGTTAGGCATGCAGATTATTTGTCCCTCTTTTAAATTGGAGCGAGCGTGGAGCGATTTGACTGGAGCGGGAGGACGTTTTAGTGGAGCGAGGAGCGGTGTTGAGCGGAGCGGCTTAGTGCGAATTAGAGCGGAGGAGCGGGCGGAGCCAACAGCCTCGTGAGCGAGGAGCGGAAATTCTCACCGCTCCGCTCCGCTCACATGCTCTGATGTCAATATTGTTTAAAAAAAAAAAAAAAAAAACGAGTGAAAACTGCCACCTACTGGCGGCACAGCGCTACTTTGCAAGACATTTAAGGTGGAACCGAAATCGCGAATAAGTATCTGGTGAATAAGGAGCCAACTTCAGCCTCGTTTCTGGGTCCGGGTCCGGACCCGGACCATGGTCCGCCTGTTAGCAACCTCTGTCTTACAGGAATGTCTTATGAGGAGAGGTTAGCAGAGCTGAATCGAGACTAAGGGGGGACATGATTCAGGTATACAAGACTCTAACAGGTCTGGATGCTGTTCAGCCAAATGTCTACTTCAATATTAATTGAAATACTAGAACTTGTGGCCATAAGTGGAAATTAGCGGGAAAACATTTTTAAACGAATTTGAGAAAGCACTTCTTTACACAGCGTGTAGTTAGAGTATGGAATAGTCTTCCTGTTATAACTGAAGAAGATCAAATCACACGTTTCAAAGGGGCTTTAGTGCTATCTATCAATCGAAGTTGTTCTGCTGGGGGTTGCCTAGTTTTGGAGACATTGGCTGTAGAAATGTCGGGCTTCTCTCAAATATAATGCAATATAATATAAATAAATGCCATTCATTCAGTGGTGATTAAAGAGCTAGAAAAATACACCTGAAAAATTCAACAGCAATGTCTCTTACCAGAAACCATGATCCGGTTAGTAAAGATAATCCACACAGTTTAGTGTCTTCTTTACAAACACAACAAAATCCTTCTCCAAGTTGACCACCAACGGGCTGCAACAATGTCCTAAATTCTTCATCTTCCAGCCACTTCTGCTGGAATTTGCATTTCTACATTTCTTCGTGACGTCACGATTAAGTTACTCCAGGTCCCAGCATGCACTACGCAATACCATTACGCAATTCTGCATGTGTATCGCACCAATGTACATATTTTGCAACTGCAAATTAAAGATATTATATATATGCAAAATTGGTAATATTTTTTCTTCCACATTCAAAATTTTTTATGCATAAGGGAATCAAATTTAAAGATTTTTAATGCTATTTAAGGCCTTAATTTTCGCAAAATCAATTTAATGACTTTTAATGCTTTTTAATGATCCGCGGAATCCCTGTGTGCAGACTATTGGTCGACCGATATATCGGGCCAAAATTTGCCATTTTATAATGTACCGGCATCGGCCGATATCCGAGTGCACTACGCCGATTTTCAGACAGGCACGTCTGCGGGCAGCCCAGTGTTATTGTTCCTGTGGAACACGTGACAAATGCTGCGTTGTGCAGGACCCCAGCCAGAATTTTTGGAAGAGTCCTGGGAGGAAACGGTAAGGTTTAAATTTTGATCTTTCAAAGACCGATATATTCAACTGGTTTGCTATGAAATGTTGTTTTAAAAGAAAACGAGAGCGCTTTTGAAAGAGAACGCAAATTACGCTGTCGGGAACTGGCATAATGATAATGAGCCTTCAACCAACTGTAACTTGCAGGTAACGTTAAGGATCATTGATTCTGACAGTTAGTTTTGTGCGCTTATTGGTGGGCTCACAGACGTTTCTTTAATCGTTAAAAATCATTTTGTTAAAATTTTAACTTACCATATCAGCCCGATGCTATCAGTTCAGTTACCATTTTTTTTGTGTCGGAGAGTTTCACTCTGTGTGTGGGGGGCGGAGCAGGCAGCTCTCTCAAACACTGCAGCGTGTGTGAGAGTTGCGTTACTCTGCTGCGATCACAGACAGCACCGTCCTCGGAGACACAGAGCTGCTAAGAACAATGCATGGCGGAGAAAACTGTTTGTTTGAAAGTGTGGTTACCACTCAATTGAGCTGATGCTGACAATGGTCCTTCTGTGCAACTTGATTGCATTTGAGCACGGACATTCGAACAATTTGTCAGATGTCTAGATAAAAAGTGCACGACTGCGCAGTTAGTTTCCTCATTAAACATGTCTATCCTTTATACGGGCTTATCCGTCGACGTCGTCACAATCACTGGGGGCTTACGTTGTCCTTGCATACAAGACTGTAATACGACAAAGTTAATTTATTTTCTGCGATCGCTAGATTCTGATTGTGAACTTGTAAGCTATTTGTCTGCTAACATAAACAATATGTTAGTGAAAGGTTTTGGGCCTTGTACACTACTCATCATACCATGATGCACTTAGTTACTAGTGTTTTTTTTCTTTCAAAATGTATTAGAGTGTAATTGTATTAATGTGCATGGAATACTGGAATTGTAGAATGAATTGAAGATGAAGGCAGTATAATAACAATGCTAACCTTGCATTTTTCCTTCTGTTTTAGTAATTGCTGTCTGATGACTGAACAAAAATCTAATCCTGTATGGCAGCATTTCACCAAGCCAAGTTTAAGTTATTGTTTACAAGTTGTATTGTGTTTTTGTTAAGTTTATATTTAAATGTACACAAGTCAGTATTCGATAAATGCTAAGTTGAGAAATTTTGTGTATCGTTTGTTATTATTAGTGTGATATTTTATCATGCAAATAGAGTGGAAAACGTCCAATTATCGGCCACAAAAAAATTGGCAGCATATATCGGCCATCGGCTGACCCTGACTCCTATTGAAAAAACCCACATTGGTCGACCTCTAGTGCAGACACATACTCACGCACCCACCCACCGAGAATGTCTAAGTAAACAAACACACACACTATAACTGTATAATAGGTATACTACTGTATGTACAGCCATATTTGCTACTGCAGATTTTTTTGTATGCTACTGGCATGGCTGAAGACCGAGACAAACTTGACAGCACAGTAACTAATAATAATCAGCACCCTTCCAGAATAGATGCATTCCCAATAGCAGCTGCACATCATATTGAGGCCACATGCATCTTTTCAATATTCAAATCAAATTCCTTTTCCTTTTTCTCTGGAAAATAATTTAGCCAGAAGAGCATGACTTTATATGTATTATAAACAGACATTTTGTTTTTGTTATTAATTATAATATCACTGTTTATAGCACTTTGAGCCACGGCCTGAGCAACATAAAACGTACCACAGAACGCCTGGGGAAATCATTCCTTCTGACAGCCATCAGATTGTACAATCAGTAAATCAATCAGGACACATACATTAATGTGTACAATACCACCTATATTTTTTATCAATATCTATAATCTTTTGAGTGCAATATTTACCACAGTTATTGCCATATTCACACACCTATTTCATCTCTATAGGTTATATTTATATTACACAGATTGTTGTATGCGGTACTATGTACTGTCTATTTTTGTCTTGTGTGGTTGTGTATTGTGCAGTTTCTTCTTTCGAGATAATGTTTTCTGATTACTGTACTGCAATAGTCACTAACAGCCATGTAAAAATGACTTCAATTTTAAATGCAATGCATTGTATTTCAGCAATAACAATACATATTATTATATTTTACTATTTATATAAATGGCAAGACCTTTACTACTTTATATGTTTACTAGGAGCCCTGTATCAGTGAGGAGGGCTGTTGCTTTCAACATGGTTCACTGTGGTTGCAGTTTTGCTATGGTCTGCCCCTAGACATAAATCACAATACAGACACACACACACAGGCACTTTTTTATAATGAAAAAGTCCAACCTGAAACTGATGTCAGAAGATTTACCTGGTGAATGATGTAGATGCCATAGTTGAGCTGCTGTCTCTGCAGGAAGGGGTGCAGGTAGTAGAGCAGGAACTTCAGGTGGTGTTCTCTGTTCCTGTGGGGGATGATGATGGCGGTGTGATGGAGAGACTCGCAGTTTGGTGGCCGGTAACGTCCCCCTCGCACTACTAGGGGGTTTTTCCGCTCTACTTGAACCAAAGTCAGCCCAGAAGGGAAAGTCACACGGAGTGGGCCTCCTGTAAATGGGGAAAGTGGAGGTGCAAATATCAATTAAGCATGGAGGAATAATAGAGAAGGAAATGGCCACCTCCACCACATTCTTACAGAACAAAAACATATGCACACAACCCCATTATATGGGGCGGGGCTGGTTTATTACGGTTCCTCTCTGTATTGTTCCAAAGTTAAACTACATGTTGAGCTACAGTCCATCAATGAACCAATACAGAAATGACTCACCAACTAATGGAGACTTCTTTGGACAGTAAGGCATGCTCTCCTCCCTTGTCTGACTTTTGGATAGAAGGGAAAGGTTGGCATAGACATCACGCCCAGTATGGTTTTGCATGGAGGCCCCCACCCCTGTGTCAGTCCTTCGGAAAATCCGGAAAAAATATGTGACCCTCTTCTGGTAACCCTCCCTGGAAAGGAGGGCCATGACGATAAGCTGGACCCCAAGAACCATCATCAGGAAACGCCATTTTGATTGTAGATTTGGCATGGTGCTGAGTGTGACTGGTTTTTAATATAATATTTTGAATGGGGGTGGGGGGCACGTAGTTATGGTGTCTCTAACATACCCCAAAAACAATGTGGCTAATGATACTTTGGCAGTCGGATCCTTTTTGTGAAATTCCTACACAAGGATGCTTTGTGACCAATTATTCTTCTGGAAAGACGAGTTCCCCTTCAAAAATTAGAAGAAAGTTCAGGACTGCATGTAATGATATGGTGCTTTGTAGTGCGATGGGTTTCCTGGTATTACAAAGAGGAATAACTGTTTTCCTTTACAAAAATGAGACCAGGGCTTGTTCTTCGTCAGTAAAGATGGTCACAGTTTAAAGGTTGAGAATTTCTCCATAATTCCTCTATGTGTAAACATCCGACTATCTTGTCCATAAGCAACAATGCGAAAAAGGCACTTCAAACAATGTAAGAAAAGGAAAAAAACATTATAGTGAATATTTTGACATTCCTCTAGTCAGATGAGATGCGTAAGATCAAAGATGCTGATCCAAGCCTCATTTTCGCAGCACTAGAGAGCAGCCAGCTGGAATCCTGCCCATTAACACATCCGCCATCCAGCTGCCGGTTTGATCCACACTCCACTGCTGTCATTCATCAATGTGGAGAGTAATGGGGGAAAACTGGGGGGGGGGGGGAAGTAAAAACATTTTTAGAATGAACTTTTGCTTGTTGCATGGGACATATACTACAGAAGATGAACTCCCATCACACAGACAAAAGGCAAAGAGGCATGGCATGGGATGAGCTGAGGTTTTGTTTGTGTGTGTGTGTGTGTGTGTCTCAGTTACAGGCAGCTTACTTACAGCATGTGGAATCAGGTCCACAAATCAGACTTGGCTCTGAAAGACAAAAGGATTTATTTTTCCCCCTGAGATTTCTCTCCCACTACTGCTAATTGGCAGGATGTTATGCCTGTGAAAAACTGCTGTCAACATGTAGCAAAGGCAGTCCACAGGTTGGATAAACAGCTTGTGCTTCCTTTCAGCTTTTATGACAGCTTATGGTGCAGGTAGATACAGTTGTATATAATCAGACTACCCCAGATCCATCCAAACATCTTAAAGAATGAAATGATACTTTATTCACCTTTTGTACAAGTACAGTTACATAGGAAATTACATTTTGCTCTCCTTTTGGATGGTGAGAACAAGTTTTCGGTCAGAGTACAGAGTCATCCATTTATCTGGCGCCCCTTGAGCCTTACTCAAGGAACCAATGATAATGCAACTATTCTGTGGCCCTACTTTGTGATTCAAAGTAGCAATTTTCCAATCTCAGACATGGAGTTTTAACCCACAGACCTAAGCACTGCCACCTAATCCAGCTTTGAAGGCTGAATCACAGATCATCAGGCTGTTCTTTGTCTTGAAAGGATGCCAGTTGTTGCCTGGCTCAAAAGTCAATACAGCAATAAATTTGAATTTACAGTGGGGAAAATAAGTATTGAACGCATCAACATTTTTCTCAGTCAATATATTTCTAAAGGATCTATTGACATGAAATTTACATCAGATGTCGGTAACCCAAGTAATCCACACATACAAAGAAATCAAAACAAATAAGTACATAGATTAAGTTATGTGAAATAAAGTGAAATGACACAGGGAATAAGTATTGAACACGCTTACTGAAATTTATTTAATACTTAGTAGAAAAGCCTTTGTTGGTAATGACAGCTTTAAGATGCCACCTGTATAGAGAAATTAGTCGCATGCATTGCTCAGGTGTGATTTTGGCCTATTCTTCCACACAAACTGTCTTCAAATCTTGATGTTTATAGGGCCTCTCCTATGAACTCTGATATTTAGTTCTTTCCATAGATTTTCAACTGGATTCAAGTCTTGCGATTGACTGGGCCATTCTAGCAGCTTTATTTTCTTTCTCTGAAACCGACTGAGAGCTTCCTTGGCTGCGTGTTTGGGATCATTGCCTTGCTGAAATGTCCACCCTTGTTTCATCATAGGAGCCCTGAATGTCTCGCTACATTTCTCCTTTCATCCTTCCTTCAATTATATGAAGTCTACTAGTACCATATGCTGCCCCACACCATGATGTTCCCACCCCCAAACTTCACTGTTGGGATGGTGTTTTTGGGGTGATGTGCAGTGACATTTCTCCTCCAAACATGGTGAGTGCTATAACATACAAAGAGTTTAATTTTATCTCATCTGACCGGACTATATTCTCCCAGCATTTCATTGGTTCATCCAGATGTTGTGCGGCAAACTTTAAACAAGCTTCAATATGCTTTTTCTTCAGCAGTGGAGTCTTGCACGGTGAACGTGCATAGAGGCCATGGCAGTTGAGTGCATTACTTATTGTTTTCTTTGAAACAACTGCACCTGCTAATTCCAGGTCTTTATGAAGCTCTCCACGAGTGGTCCTTGGCTCTTCTGATTATTCTTGACTCCTCTGTCAGAAATCTTGCGAGGAGCACCTGGTCGTGGCCGGATAATGGTGAATTGATGTTCTTTCCACTTCCAGATTATGGCCCCAATGGTGCTCACTGGAACATTCAGAAGTTTAGAAATACGTCTGTGACCGATGCCATTGGTATGTTTTGCAGCAATCAGGTTGCGAAGGTCTTGAGTGAGCTCTTTGCTTTTATGCATCATGAAATACTTCTTGTGTGACACCTTGGTAATAAGAAACCTTTTTATAAGCCATCAGTTAGGACTAAACCAGCTGATATTAATTTGCACTGATAGGGGGCAGGATTTCTTTCTAAATACTGACAGATTTCAGCTGGTTTCTTGGCTTTCCGTGCCTTTTTGCACCTCCTGTTCTTCATGTGTTCAATATATTTTCCCTGTGTCATTTCACTTTATTTCACATAACTTAATCTATGTACTTATTTGTTTTGATTTCTTTGTATGTGTGGATTACGTGGGTTGTTACTGACATCTGGTGTAAATTTCATGTCAATAGATCCATAAATATATTTTCTGAGAAAAACATTGACGCGTTCAATACTTATTTTCCACGTTGTATTTAGCCAATACTTTTGCCAAGTGAAGCAAATAGCACATTACAAACATACATGCTGTCAGAGTTAACTAGGCACAAGTGCAGCTTCCAATCAATGCCTAGGCACAAGTGCATTAATCAGTACTATTTTTAGAATAAAAACAAACCAACAAGCACCTATCACACGATACCTGCAGGTTCGGAGCCACACCAGTACTACAACAGAAACAGATCGATATGAAACAAAGTGATTTCAGCCTCCATAACATCTCCACACCGACTGTATATGTCACTGCTTTGTCAAGGATCTGTCACAACTTAGGGCGTTTTTCCACCGCACCAGGTACCGTACTTTCGGTACTTCCATAAAGTGTCGAAAGTTTGGTACTTCTTTCGTGTCGGTTTTCCACTGGCGTAAGAAATGGTACCGGCGCCAAATAACATCATCAGTGACCGCCCCTGACTGACAGCCCAAAATTAAAACTAACAGTTGAGGCTGGAAAATGCGGTTTATTGTTGTCAGCTTGAAAAGGCATGGGAATTTTTCAAAAGCACATTGTTGCAAGTGCAAGAGGACTTCATACCTGTTTCCAGCAAAACTAAATCTAGGAAACGACAACCAAGGTGGTTTACTAAGGAAATTAAGAATAAAGTCAGGAGGAAAAGGGCTCTGTTCCAAAAATGGAAAATAACTAATGATTTCAAAATTAAACAGGAGTATCTAAGTCTACAGGCAGAGTTAAAAAATGACATTAGGCTATCAAAGAGGGATGTAGAAAGAAAAATTGCATTGGAGGCTAAGCATGACAGTAAAGGTTTCTTCCAATATTTTAACTCCAAGAGAGCACTAAAAGCTGAAATCACTAATTTGCAGGATAGTAAGGGCCTTATAATTGATAACGAAATTGATATGGTAAACGAGTTTAATGATTATTTTTCAAGGGTGTTCACAATAGAGAACACAAGTAACTTACCA